CCTTGGTGTAGATCCAGATTTCCAACCGGTATAATTTTCCCTCTGTCTGTTTGATTTTCCTTTAACATTTCTTGCAGTGTGGGTTTGCTGGTGATGAATTCTTTAAGCTTCACAATCTGAGAATGTTTTTATTTTGCTTTAGTGTTTTAAAGATATTTTTGCCAGGTATAGAATTTCTACATTGACAGTTTTCTTACTTCTAGTACTTTAATAATATTTTCCCATGTATTCTTACTTATATTGTTTCAGGTGAGAAATCTAATGTCACCATTATCTTTGTTTTTCTGGCTTTAGCATGTCCTTTTTCTTGAGGTTACTTCTGTGGTTTTCTCTATATTGCTATTTTTTTTCTCCTCAATTTGATTATGAAGTGTCTTGGTATAGTTTTCTTCATGTTTTGGGGGTTTGTTGAGCTTTTTGGGATTTGTGAATTTATACTTTTCATTAAGTTTTCAAAGTTTTTGATTATTCTTTCTTCCAATCTTTTCCCCATCCCCCTGTTTCTCTTCTTCAGGGACTCAGATTATCCATCTGAAGTCTTGAGTTCATTCTACAGTTTACTGTGCTCTTTTCATTTTTGTTTTATTGTCTATTTCTGTGTTTCATTTGGATCATTTCTATTGATTCCAGATTCACTAATCTTTCTTCTGCAATGTCTAATCTGTCATTAATCCCATCCAGTGAATTTTTCATCTCACACATTGTAGTTTTTATCTTTAAATGTTTATTTTTTCTGTTGTCCATGATTCTACTTAACTTTTTGCACATACATATAGAATATAGTTATAGTGGTGGTTTTAATGTCTTTATGCTATGCCTGTTCTGGGTAAATTAATTAATTTATTTATTTATTCAATTATTTCTTTATCAGTTTCAATTGATTAATTATTCTCATTATGGTTTGTTTTTCCTGGCTTCCTTTCATGCTTAGTAATCTTTGATTGGATACCAAACGTTTTTAATTGTACCTCATTGGTTTATCTTGTATGGACCTTTTTGCATTCCTATAACTTTTCTTGAACTTTTTATCTGGGCCACATGTGAGCTATTTGGAACCACATGGATCCTTTTGATTTGTTAGGCAGGTCCAGAGTAGTAACAGTCTAGGACTAATTATTCCCTACTGCTGAGGCAAGACCTTCCTGAGTACTCTACCTAATGCCCCATAAATTTTGATTTTTTTCAGTCTGGCTAGTGGGAGTAAGCACTATTCCCTCTGATCTTTTTAAAGAAAACCACCCAGCTTCAGGTGGTTTTCTCCCACACATCTGATAAACAGTACTCTGCTAAATACTTGAGGGGAACCCTTTGCAGATCTCCAAGATTCTGTCTGGAGGCAGCGCTATCCTTTCTGGTACTTTGTCCTACAAACTCAAGTTTCCTTGGCCTCCTCAATTCCATCTCCTCAATTCAGGTAGTTTTAAGACTCTTCCTAAATTTTCCCTCCCTTTACTTTTGCCTGAAATTTCTCCCAAGATAGGAAGCCGAGTGAATTGTAGGGCTCACCTGCTTGTTTCCCATCTCTGAAAGATCAGCGTGTTTTGTTGCCTTGATGTTCCCTATCTTACAAATACTTTTTCTAGCATTTTGTCAGTTTTTAAAATTGTTTCAGGTGGGAGGACAAATCAGGTCCATGTTACTCATTCTTGACTGGAAGATGATATTAGTCCTTTTTTATTTCATTTTAAAACAAAGTCTAAAGTATTTTTACCTAAACAGATTCCCTGAAAATTTTTGGAGTTAAATGATTCTCCTTGCTCTTTCAGTGGGGAAGTAGATATATCATGGCAGAGTTGCACTCGTGTTGAGCCTCTGTAGTTAGTGATGCAAAAGCTAAGAAATACATGGGTTGGGTGGAGACTTCATAGGAAATAAGAATACTTTGTTAAGGTATAAATTGGCATTTTGTTTTTATTGCTGTAGAATGTTGGGGAAAAAAGACAAAAAGTCTTCATTTCTGTAACACAAGAAGTTGTCATACTTTGGGGTCTTGACAGCTCAAAGGGAATGTTAATGGCTTTTGTGTTATATTTAAACACTTTTAGCTATCTAAAAAATAAGAAAAAAATAATATTGTGTTCATTATTAAGACGATTTATATTATAACAGAAAGAGAAACTGATGATTCCAAACAACACCCACAAAGAAAGAACTGAACTTGCTGTTTTCTTAGGACAAATCCAGATGCTTTGATTATTTTTAATTGTGTAAGAAAGGTGGAAGACACCTAAAATAATAATTGAGGTAAATTTTGCTGTCACCCTTGATAGTTGTGGTTTTAGGGCAGATATGTTGGATTTAGAAAAGAAACTCACACTTTTCTTGCACCTGAGTTTGAGAAGCAATTTTACACTGCACATAGTTTGAAAGTTTTTTTTGTTTTGTTTTGTTTTGTTTTCCAAGCTGTGTTGGTTTTTCAAAATTTAATTCTGATGTCTTTTACCATTAGAGATGATGATGATGATGATGATGACTGTCACATTTTCTATGTACTTGTGTAATGGATATGTAATTCAGCCTATCTGTGTGCAATCAAGTCTTTCAATAATTTTCTTTATGCCTGTGCTTTTCTTTTAATAAAGATGCCTCTTACTAACTCCAAAATTATGAAAAATATTCTAGTATATATACTTGTATTAATGTTCTTAATGCTGTTTTTTTGTTGTTTTTTTTTAAAGATTTTATTGCTGTCCTTTTGCTCTTCAGTCTAGTTGTAGAGGACGTTGTTTCACTGGCCCATGTTAGTATTATCATTGCGCTCTTCCCAGGTGAGGCAGATCAGTCGCTGGCCACTGGATGGTTGCTCACGACAGCTCTTGGCAGCTCGCGCCAGCTGCCAGACACTCACGTTAGCTTTATGGCAGCCCACTGCAGCTCCACTGCAGCCTACGCAGTCTCCTGCGACTCAAGGCAGCCCAGCCCCAGGTCGAGCTGTTGTTCACTATCTTAGCTATAGAGGGCAGTGTCACTGGCCCTCATGTGGGATCTGAACTGGGGCCCTGCTGCTCAGAGCTGGCATCCCAAACCAACTCTTAACCAATGTGCCACTCAGCCGGCCCTCTTAATGCTGTTTTAAAAATATTAGTTTGATCTCTAGTACCTCATACATTAAAGACTCTGTGTGTGTGTGTGGTGTGTGTGTGTGTGTGTGTGTGTGTGTGTGTGTGTGTGTGTGTGTGTGTGTGTGTTATGGACTGAAATCTATGTTATTTTTTTCTTGATAGAGAGCCCATTGTCTCACTGGATTTATTTTCCTTTCCTCAAGCAAAATCTATGATATATTCTATCCTAATGTACTCCATACTTCTATTTTTCTGTTATCCCTGATCTCTGAGAAGGACAAAATTATGAAATCAAACCAAACCATGGGTAACTGGTTAGCTCAGTTGGTTAGGGCATGATGCTGATAACACCAACTTTGCTTGTTCCAACCCCGCATGGGTCACTGTGAGTGCATGGGCTACAGCGAGCTCCGCCCTCTTTAAAAGAGTCAACTATGCCATTGTCGCATGAAAGCAATGTGTAACCAATGACCATGGCTGTTTCCCAATTTAAAAAAAACATTTTTTAATTAGAAAAACAAAACAAAACCAGTGGCCATATCTTGGTTCTTTGTGAAAAAAATTTCAGAGTAGCTCTTAGTTAAATTATTTAAGAAAAATGTAGTCTTTAGCCATCTTCAAATGTATATTTTTCACAAACATTTTTAGGCAATATTTAATGCTTCAGATCTTCACACCTATAACCAAACTGAGAATGGTGTTATTTTGAGGAAATTTGGGGGGAAAAAATGTTATCCTTTGCATCATAAAAGGAGCAATGAGTTTTCTGAAATGCATATCTTTTGCTCAGAGACACTTCTTCTCCTTAGGGCCACTGTAAAGACTTGAGTAGTCTTTTTTATATCTTCAAACTTCTTAATCCTTTATGAATTCAACTTATGGTTTCATGCTTCTCAAAATCCTTTCTTACCGCAAAAGTACATACATTTTCATCTACACTCTATTTTATTAATTTTATTGATTTTTAAAATGTAATTCTTTCATCCATCTGGAATTTATTTTGAAGTATAGTAAGAGGTGGTTTTTTCCCCCACATGGTTTATACATAATCCCAGTACCAATTATTTGTGGATTAAATTCCATTCTCTCACTCTTAATTTAAAAGTTACCTTATATATTAAATAATTCTGTTTCTGAACGATCTATTGTGTTCTGAGGAGAGATTTATCTATACATGTACCAATAATATGCTTTTACTTATGATCATTTTATAAAACATTTTGATATCTAACAAAGTAATTACATTCATATCTCTTCTTGTTCAAAGGTTTAGTCCAGATACAAAACACAAAGTAGATTAGTGGCTGCCTGGAGCAGAGTGTAGGAATGGGGATTAATTAAAATGGTGAGAGACAGACAGACAGAGACAGACAGGGACAGAAACGGAGACAGAGAACACAGAGTGCACAGCATTGAAACATGCTCATGCTTGATCCCTTCTCCAAGGGCGTCTATGTTCAGAGGTGAGCAAGAGGAGAAAATTCCAAGATGAAGAAAATTTTTCTCTTAACAGCAGGTTGTTAATGAGGAGAGGCCCTTTTCAGTGTAAGTTCTTAACTCCTAAAAAGGGAACCTGTGCGTTCTTCCCGCTGGAGGAAGCATGTCAGCCTTTTTATCCTCCGCTCTCCCTCTCTCCCCACTGCTGTCTTGATCTCCTTTCACCTTCCCTCCAGCCCTTCGTCTCTCTTTTGCTCTCTCGCTCCTTCCTTCAGCGCTCTCTCTCTTATTCCGTCTTCTAGACTGAACATAGGCCTAGTAAGGTCAGTTTTTAATCAACATTTCAAAGGTACTTAAACAGATGCTGAGTTGTCGATTTTAAAATGGTCCAAAGTCTTAGAGCTCACAAAAGCAATTGGTGGTGGAAATGGAGACTGCACAGGAATAGAAGCATGCAGAGTACCACAGTAGAACATATCTCCTTATCTCTTCTATTCCTCACAGGAAAATATGGGAACTCTGCTCACCATGCAGCCCCTGCCTCTGCTCCTCCTGCTGCTGCAGCCATTTCCGTTTCAGTTTTTAATGCTACGTGAATATTTGGATTCCTCAACTGATTGGGATGAAGAATTTGAAGATTATTTGGCGGAATTATATAGTACCGGGCCTACCAAACCACCTACCAAGGAAACTTTCCAAAAGCATGTTATAGTTGATTCTGACAGATCATTATCTGATTCATGGTACTGTTATGGTGAAATAAGGATGAAAAATATTCAAAACAGGCTCCACTGTAAAAAAGAACATTTCTTCCTCCAAGTAAAATATGAGGAGTTGCAAAATCTCTGTAATCAAAGGTTTGTGCCATGTAAGAATGGAGTTAAGAAATGTCACAGGAGCCAGAAAGTGATAGAAGGAGTGTATTGTAATTTAACAGCTGGAACCAGGATGCCAGACTGTGAATACGAATCTTTTCATAAGAAGGGACATGTCCTTATCACTTGTCGATGGCAAGATGATATCCAACAAATTATTCCTGTTCATGTAAATAGTATTTTGGAAACACATGGCAAGCAGTAAAGCATCAGCCACCAGGAAGATATCTTCTTCCCAACGTTCTAGAAGAGTATTCTCTAAGAGGTTAGATTAAGATCATATACCCCTCTTCGTGTTGATTCTTATAGGTCAAAATCGAGAATGATAATTTTGACCCCCTTCATTTTAATCATTCACTTCCCTCTGTTCTTCCCCTAATACCATGCACAGGCAATGTGGGTTAGGTTCACAGATAGTGCTCTGAGATGTAGTTTCAAACTACATCATGTAATTTAGCCCATTTTAAATGCATTATGAGGATGAATGCCTTCAGTGAAAGATGACCAGCACTGAAAGGAACAGGAAATGGTTGCCTGAAATGTGCTCCAAAGTTGTTTTCATGTGAATCTCTAGATCAGTAGAAATAATAAAGTACAGTGACCTAACAAAGTGTCTCTGGTATGGCTCTGTGGGGTTTCTGAGTTTGGAATTATTAACCTTTCTCTGTGACACAATTTGTAACAAAAAGATCCTGAAGTCCCTTGAGAAACTGTGTAATTCATCTTTCTAGTGTTATATTTGCAGAGATTTTGCTTGTTCTGTTCTTTTCATACAACACAGTATTCATGGGAAAATGAAGGTGTAGATTCTAATAGGAGACATCTCAGGATAAATACCTCAATGTTCAGGACAGCAAAATCCCCAGAGTACTTTTCAGTTGTCCAATGCTACTTTTGTGGATTCCCATATCTTTGATTTAACTGTTCACAAAACTACAAACATTTCATCACTTTCTGATATAGTCACATTTATTCACAATTTCTTTCCTCACTTTCCACAGATGTGGCTTTATCTGAGAATATTCTACTTCCAAAAAATGCTGAGGAATCAGCATGATAAAAGAAATCTATCTGTCCAATTTAGGTAATAATTTCTCTCATCTGTGAAACTTCTTAAAACTTTTATCATTATTCCCTATAACTAACTTATGGAAAATGGAATAAGAAGAGTAGTGATGGGGGATGGTAGGGGGAGTGCCTATTGCTCTTGCATACTTCAATGCAATCCAACCCGCTCATCTTTTTCCCATTTCCTATTCTTCGGACTCAGAGATAAGGTCCTAATTCATTAATCAGTTGCTATAAATAGAGACCTAGGGCCAAGGGTTTCCTGGCTCCATTTCAGTGGCTAAGGAAAGCACACCAGAAAATCAAGCCTCTAGATACCACTATTCACTTGGAAGCTCATGACTTTTAATTGTAATGTCTGAGTGAATAAGGATCTTATCAAACTTTTGGGAATCTCCATGACACAGTCTAAAACCAACCTTTTATACACCAGCTGAGGAAGTTCTGCTCGTAGACTAGCCTGGGTATATGCTATGGACCATCTCCTCTGGGCCATGTTCATCTCATCTATTTTGGGGTTATACAACAAACAAAATATTTATGACAGTATGGTGTAGCACATAAATAAGGCATGAAATAATCATAATATATCTCCTTCTCTCCAAGTAAATGATCTGATTCATATACATTTTAGAATTAAAGACCTGGAAATAGAACAAGTATTATTTACAGATTGTTTCTCTCATCCAACATTGCATAAGAAATTCAAATCCTAGCTTCTACCCACCAGATTCTCTAAGATATGTTAAAACTATAATTTTCAGCTTCATCCATTGTAAAATTTCAAAATATTATTGTTCAATCTCCATTAGCACTCCCTCCTCAATAATACCAACCTAATAAGATGAATATTGTCCATAACCTTGACTCACATAATTTATTCTTTAATTTGGAGTCTCTTGAGATGATGAAATATTCATTTTTAAAATTGTGGTGAAATATACATAGCATAAAATTGACCATTTTAGCCATTTTTAAGTGTACAGTTCAGTGACATTAAGTGCATTCACATTGTTGTGCAACCATCATCACCAACTAGTTCCAGAAATATTTTATCTTGCAAAACAAAACTCTGTACCCATTAAATGACAACTTCCCATTTCCCCTCCCCTCAACCCCTGGCAATACCATTCTACTTTCTGTCTCTATAAATTTGACTACTTTAGTGCTTCAAATAAGTGGAACCATAGAGAATTTGTCCTTTTGTAACTGGCATATTTTACTTAGCATAATACCCTCAAGTTTCAACCACGTTGTATCACGTGACAAAATTTCCTCTTTTTTTTTTTTAAGATTTTTATTGGGGAATTGGGGGATGGGAACAGCGCTGGGGAATTGGGGGAAGGGGAACAGACAAGTTGCTGTCCTTTTGTTCTTCAGTCTAGTTGTGGAGGACATTACTTCACTGGCCCAAGTGGGCACCATCATTGCGCTCTACCCGGGCGAGGCAGATCAGTCGCTGGCTTCTGGACAGCCGCTCATGCTGCCTGCTGGCTACACACGGTAACCCATGGCAACCCACTACAGCAAGGGTTGCAGCCTACACCATTGCTGGCGACTCACAGCAGCCCAAGCTCCAGGTTGAACTGTTGTTCAGCATTTTAGCTGTGGAGGGCAGTGTCACTGGCCCTCATATGTGGAATCCGAAACGGGGCCCTCTGGCGTCCCAAGCCAGCTCTTAACCAATGCGCCAGTCGGCCAGCCCCTTTTTTTTAAATTTTATTTTAATTTCCTTTCTTTTTAAGGATGAATAATATTCCATTGAATGCATATACTATCTATTCATCTATCAGTGGACCCTTGGGTGATTTTCTCTATTTGGCTATTGTGAATAACGCTCCTATGAACAAATATCTGTTTGAGTCCTTGCTTTAAATTCTTTTGATACATACTCAGAAGTGGAATTGCTAGTCTTGTGGTAATTCTATTTTTAATATTCTGAGGAATCACCGCACTCTTCCATAGCAGCTACACTATTCTACATTCCCACCAGCAGTGCACTAAGGCTCCAATTTCCCCAATCCTCACCAACACTTGCTAGTTTCTGTTTGTTTTTTTCAAATAGCCATCCTAATTGATGTGAAGTAGTGACAACAACAATTTAAAATTTTAGTTATTCAGTGAAAGAATGTAGACAATAGCATCGCAAGAGTAAAAAAAATAGAGAGGTTCATAGATTACTGATGAGGGTATAAATTGATAAAATTGTTTCTCGAGAAAAAGAGGCAAAATGTGTCTGATGTTTTGACAACATGAAATGCAATTTCACTTTCAGAAATTTACCTTAAGGAAGTATTTTTGCAAGTGCACAAAGATATATACACCAAGATGTTCACTGCCACTCTAATCCTAGGAAGCATACAGGGAGTAGCTGCATTAATTGGGACCAACAGTAATCCCTTAAAAGTGCTTGCCTTGTACCTGAAATTAATTGTATGTCAACTGTAATTTAAAAATAAAAAATTATTTAAAAAAATAAATAATATATTATCAAGAGTAAAAAAAGAAAGTGCTTGCCTTGTACCGTGTAGGTGGCACATGAGGAAAGAGTTTTCAAAGGCTCTTTCTATTGATCATTGAGGGTGGGCAGATGCTACCAGGTGGGCCAGAAACAAAGGCTGTTGAAGGCTCAGAGATATAAGATTATGAGGCTGAATCTAGGTTTAGTCCTAGAGTGCTAAACAGAGGCTACATTGGAGTAAAAGTTAGGCCTTGCTTTTTCAGTTCTATAGAGCCCTCTACTGATGAATGGAGAGGGTGACAAGTTTTTCAGAAATAAAATAGGACATGAAAACATTTGACCCAATTCTATTAGGTTGTCAGAAGAGTCATGATGCATGTTTGTGACAGATGGCACAATTCATTTTTGGAAGTACTAGAGTCATTCACATCTATGTTATTGCTATGTCATTTGACAGCTGACAGTTCTAGCTTCATTCTAAAAAAAAATTAAGCGATTTGGTTGAGTTTTGGAGATTTTACAAGTTGAAAATGGAAGACCAAATTGCGCATTTTTGCCATATTTTACTGTTTTACTTCCATAAAGGGGAGAATGTGCGTCAAGCTTGTGAAAAGTTGCATAAAGTTTAGGGTGACAATGCTCTACAAGAACGTCAGTGCCAAAGATGGTTCATGAAATCCCGTGCTGGTAATTTTTATCTCAACGATGCTCCTCAGTCAGGGAGGCCCACAGAGGTTGATGACAGAAAATAAAGGCATTGATCAAGTCAAACCCACATTACATGACACGAGAGATTGCAGGAACATTGAACATCCATTATTCAAGGGTTCACGACCACCTGAAGAAGCCGGGGTACGTAAGCAAGCTCAATATTTGGATTCTGCATGAACTCAAAGAAGTTCATTTGACGGCATGTATAAACATCTGCAATATGCTCATTAAACACGAGGAAAACGATCCTTTTTTGAAGTGACTGATAACTGGTGATGAGAAGTGGATTGTTTACAACAATGTGGTGTGCAAACGGTCTTGGTCCTGATGTGGTGATTTGCTTCAAACGACATCGAAAGCAGACATTCATCGGAGGAAGGTTATGCTCTGAGTGTGGTGGGATTTTAAAGGTGTCATGTTTTTCGAGCTCCTACCAAGGAACCAAACAATCAATTCGAATGTGTACTGTCGCAACTGGACAGCTTGAACGAATCCATTATCCAGAAACGTCCAGAGCTTGTTAATTGTAAAGGAGTTGTGTTCCATCGCGACAACGTGAGGCCACACACAAGTTTGATCACCAATCAAAAATGATTGGAGCGTGGATGGGATGTATTGCCACACCCACCGTACTCGCCTGACCTTGTGCCGTCAGACTTCTACTTGTTTCACTCTCTTCAAAACGCCTTGCATGGTGTAACGTTCAATTCAGATGAGGCTGTAAATCAGCACCTTGTTCAGTTTTTTGCAAATAAAGACAGGTCCTTCTATGAACGAGGAATTATGAAGCCCACTGAAAGATGGCAAAAGGTTATTGAACAAAACAGGCAGATTGATCTTTGTTCTTTATATAAATAAATGACCTTTGAAAAACATAGACAAAATGCGTCATAACTTTTCCGACAACCCAATACATCATTCACATTTTCCAGCCACTACAAACTACTTTGCATGATAATTTCAGTTGTTTCCATTTTCTCCTATGGCATTATGAATGTCTAGTCTTCCAAAATATGCTCCCAGAAAAGGCAGTCATCTTCACAGCTGCTAATCTCAGTATACTCAGCCACGCTGCCAGTTTCAAAATATTCTTTCTTTTCTCCCCCATGAAATGTTACAGCATTATGACTCCCTGAATTCCAAAGGAATACAGGAATATTAGCATCTCACTGCTGGTGGCCCCAGAACCTTCATGACAGATGGGGCTCAAAGGCTGCAATCTAGTTGGAAAGGGGAACTAAAGAACTTGAATTGAAATTGAATTTGCATAGTATGAAAGCAAAATTCTCAACAAATGTGTAATGAACATATTTCAAAGTTTAATTTACTTTTTAATGAGAAAACCAGCAGAGAAGTTAAAAAGAGCTGGTTCCTCACATTTTGGAAAGGAGAAATAAATGCAATTAGTAAAAGAATTGCCCCCCAAAAAATAGGTTAAATACAATCCAGTTTGCTCTCTAGTTGGGCTATGTAAGAGACCACTTTTAGAGCTAACCTCTCTAGTGGGATATAAAATTGTAAGACCTTATTGGATCCTGAAGTTAACCTCTAAACTTAGAGGGCAGTATTCCATCCATGCTTCCACTTGTTGTGATTATCAATCAAATATACTGTGCTAGATAGGGATCTAGAGTGACAAATGAGGGTCAGTTAATTGGTGAACGGTACATCCTACTTATATTGAAGCAGACTTATTAGAAAATACTCCACAGTGATATATAAAATAAGAAATTATCATTTTTTCCCCTCAAACTTGGAGATTTTTTTTATCTTCCTCAGTAAGAAGCACGTTATTCTGTTTTGTGCTTTAATTTAGACCATATGTCTATTTTGGGATGATAGCAGTGCTCTGACTGAGATTATGAGGGGTGGCTTACCTCATAGTGACTATCCGTGATATTGCAAACATCCCTTTCTGGTCCTACTTAAACATATGTTCATTCATTTATTCAATAAGTATTTGTTAAGCGTCTATGCATGCCAGTCACTTTGCCAGCTATTGGACCCACAAAGCGAAATATGGTTATCTGGTTATAGGTTAAGTTGTTCCTAAAACCAGAATTCAGGCATACATGGTTAACTAGTGAGGCAGTGTTTTTAAGGATTCTAATTACTTGAGGAGAATTGTTGAAGAGAAAGGATTCTGTATAACAAAAAAGAAAATGAAAACTGGGACAAAGAAGAATGGTGTTTCATTTCTATCTACCTCCTTATCCCATGCTCCACATACACACTAACACACACCCAGCCTTTTTTTTGCAGAGACAACTGAGCACTGTTTGTGTGCTCATTTAACTGTATTTTAAGTTCTTTACAAAAACAAGGCCTTAGGTACCCCCAGGTTCAAGTATGCCCCTGGGCTTGGTTCACTGCCGTCTTGTATTCATGCTTGGGTATTCATCCACGAACATCAAACCCCTGTACAGAAGATGTGATGGAACAGGCCCCCTCCTCAATGGCATGAGTCCTTTGCTGATTTAAGAGATGACCACAGCAGCCAATGTGGAAAACACCGGGACTTTTCCTTTGGAACTGGGCTGTAATGAGAAGTGCCTGCCAGGAATATCATCTTTTCCCTAAACCTTCCTCCTCTCCAGTTTCTGAAGATACAGCAGAAAATAATCTTCTTTGAAGATACTGGATAATAATTCCCAAAACAAACACATGCTTCCAATGCATTGTGCTTTCAGATATTCAGGGAGGAAGAAAAACAATTTCATCAATACAAATTCCCTGTGACTTGGTACCTGGGTTTAGTTCAGCTGCCGGATGAGCTGATTGATGCGTTCACCTGGATAGCCAGGTGAGCCCACTTCCTTGAGGAAGCCCACTCTATTCTTGGTAGCGTGACAGGCAACTGAGAGATGAAAAGGGCACAAGAACCTTGAGATTGCCTGGAAATTCTTCCCCGGGAAGGCAATTTCATGAATGAAGTCTTCCAAGCAAACGACACCAAACTTCCCCAGATGCTCCTCAATCACTGTATTGTATGTCAAAGGGATGATTTTATTCTTGACTTTGGCTTGTCCACGTTTCAAGATGAGTTCTCGGACAGACTTCAGGTTTGGAAATCCCCAGGTCACATAAGGTTCCACTACACGCAGTGTTTTCATGGTTTTGGGGGTCACTTTGAAAAAAACACCACTGAAAATCTTCTGCAGACGAAGCCTTGCAATGGTCCTCTGCACCATTAAAGTCACCCCATTAATCCTTTGGATGCGTACAACAAAGGCCAAGGAATGTTCATCTGGCACTTCCAAACCATGAGGTTTCACCTCTAGTCGTGTGAGGCGCACCTTGTCACGTTTTGCTGCCAGGCATCGTGTAAACCATTCCAGTCGCTTAAACCTGATCTCTTTTCCTTTCCTCTGCTCCTTCCGTTGCAAAAGTGCCTGCTTTGCCTGGGTAGCTTTGAGGGCCTGATAAGCCTTCCTCTTTTTCAGGAGATTTTCTGGAACCAAAGGGATCTTTCTTCTTTGCTCTTCCTCCACCATCTTTCCAATGCTGTGGCTACTGCCACACCCAGCCTTTTTTTTTCCCCCCTGGCTGGCCGGCTTCTGGACGCCGCTCACGGTGGCTTGAGGGCTGCTCACGGTGGCTTGAGGGCTGCTCACGCTGCCTGCTGGCTACACACGGTAGCCCATGGCAACCCACTGCCACAGGGGATGCAGCCTATGCCGTCGCCAGTGACTCACGGCAGCCCAGCTCCAGGTTGAGCTGTTGTTCAGCATCTTAGCTGTAGAGGGCAGTGTCACTGGCCCTCACATGTGGGATCCGAACCGGGGTCCTCTGGCGTCCCAAGCCAGTTCTTAACCATCGCGCCACTTGGCCGGCCCACACTCGGCCTTTTTGACCAGTGTTTGAACACTATGGAGAGAAAAGCTTTAAGTAGAACATGGTAGAGCAATTTTGATGAAAAGACTCTAAGAGGCTGAGGAACAATCAGTACTGTTTTCGTGCTTAGGGGATAAAGAGTAACACGGAGCGATAAAGGCATAATCTGTCCATTTCCCAAAGGAAAACCACACACCTGTAAAACCTCCACCTAAACAGATTTGATGCTGTTGGAAGAAAGCACATCTTGGTATAGAAGCAAAGTGTCATGAAGATAACTGGCAGCCATGACATCTATCAAACTCCCACAAGTGTCTTTGAGGGTAAAGAGAACCATCAAAAAAGACTGAAGTAGAAGAAAAAAAAAAGACACCACCTGATACACATGACTTACTGGTCTGGGAGAATTTTGAGGCTTCCTTTAGAGAATCCTAGATATGACAGATATGACATGAGTGAGATTTTTAAGGGCATCTAGAGGGCTATAGTGGTGCAGACGCTACCCTTGTCTCTCAATTAGTGTAAGCCCTTTCATCATCTGGGTGTTGTAATAAAAGCTTCAAATTTTACCTGAGCCCATACCCAAAATAAAAGAGCTATTTTCCAGTTTTCCTTGCAAGTAACATTGACCATGTGACTAATTTCTAAACAATGGAACGCCTATGGAGAATAAGTGAAAATCAGTGAAACAATTCTGGGACATATCTTTGAAGGAAAGAGGGATCCTCTTATTTTTTCCTTCTCTTTTTTCTAATGGCTGAAGCTAGAGCAGCCATCTTGGACCCTGACATGGAAGTCCTGTGCTAGGTTTGGCAGAGCAACAAAATAGAAAGGACCTGGATATCTGACCCCATGGAGCACCACACTAGACCTGAATTGACTATCCCTGGACTTTAGAAAAAGAAATGTGAGAGAGAAACAAATACCTCTTTCCTTTCAGCCACTGCTATTTGAAATTTCTGTCACTGTCAAGCCAATTCTAATTAATACATACAGGAATTAGGGAAGGGGAGCAAAATCACATGAGATGTAGGTGATTACTGTTAAAATGATCTAATAAATAACCCCAGACTGATGAGACCTGAGAAGATTTAGGCTGCCCAAGCATAGGCCTGGTGTAAATTTTAAGAATTATGATATAATTATAAAACCAGAAGCACAACAGCTGAAACTATGTGAGAGAAATGGCGAACCTCTTCTAGCGACTGTCTTATTCCCACTCTTTACCTCAAATATTCTGGCATGGGAGCACAACAATGGAAAATTCAAACATAAGGATGAGTAGAAACAACTCTTAGTTTGGGAATTACAGTTTGGGATGTATCACAGATCTATTTCTGAGCCTGGAGGACCACAGAAATCCTTTGTGCGTCATTAGACTCAGGTGATTCTTATTAATCTTCAGACTTGTACAGGCAGAAGTTAGGCTCTTTGGTTAGTCCCCAAGCCAAGACCCAAACTGAGATTCCCGGTGCTCTTGCATCCTTGGTCTCCATCTCGTGATTTACCACCACACGTCAGCAGACAGCTTTGTGAGATACCCAAAATGCAGTCAGGTATCTTCTGAATTTATTAATTAAATAATAAAATTTGCAAGTTAAATTTAAAAGCTTAGGGAAGAGCTGACTTTTTATTTTAACCAGATTCATTCCCATTGTTAAAATCAAAATAAATTTCTTAGTAAGTGTTCTAGAAAAACTGTTTTGAGTGCACCAAAACTCTCGAATCAACCCCCACACCTTCTGACCCTCAATAGCCTGATACCATTGGCATGTCCTTGGCTGCTGCTCAGTGCTTAGTGTACAGAAAAAAACCTGATACTAGGCCTAAAGGTTGCCCTGGGCCTTCTGTTTCTGGCCAATAGACAAGACAAATAGAACGATAACCTTACTGGGAGACCCCCAGGGTACAGCCTGGGCATGATCAAAGGACAGAGTTGACGGGTAAAAAAAAAATAATGTAGGAGATCTAGAACATTCTGATGTGTGTGGTACATGCACACATTGACTTCATTCGCCTCATTATTCAGGATATATCAGAAGTCAACTGTCCTCCCTAAGTGGGAACAGGTACTCACTTCCTCTTATTTCAAATAGTAATGATAAAAACCTTGAAAGCAACATGTCCAGGATTCAATAGCCTATAAGCATACAATAAGGCTACATTTCCATTAAAAAAACCCCAAATTTTAAAGACTTCAAATGTCCATGTCTCCAGTCAGGAATGTAATCTCCCTTTAATGTCCTTGGGTAACTTCTGAACTTCCTGGGGATGCTGACTTCATGCAGTCTCACAAGCACTTCACATCCTTCCTGCTGCTCTCTCTGTCCAAGGGTCATGTCCACTGACTGTTCTGTCAGAGGATGTTGCAGGCCTGTCTCCACACTGCTGACGCTGCTTCCAACATTGCCTTAGCTTCAGGGGAGAGAGCACTGCTTCCACTTCAGTTTTAGATGCCAAGATTCACTGCTTTTCTCTAGTTATCCAGAGCAGAGCTGTGATTAGATAGAAATACCTTTAAAATTAAATTTTTTTAAAAAATTGTAAAAAAAAATTCAAACAGTGATAAAATATGCGGATGTTAACATCTTAGTGTACAAACCTTTTGTTTGTCTTTGGGTACATTTCCAAAGGATAGAGCCAGTAAACTTCATGGGTTAAATGAGTATTTGATTTGTGATTGTCACTGAGATGTACACATATGTTTTGTGCACTTTTCTATAACTGTGTTGTACTTTGATTTTAGTGTTTAAATTTCTTCTGGATCAAAGCAAAATTACATTTAAAATCCAAGTTACATTGACAAATTTTCTTCCCAAAAGCTATACCAGTACATACTCTCACAAGAAGTTTTTCTAAATCCTTCTAACATTATTATCAAATACATCATATTCTATTTCAATAGATTAAAAAAATCTGATTCTCTTGGGATATCAATCAGGTTAAACATCTCAAATATTTACTCTTAATTTATTCTTTTTTGTGTGAATTTCCTATTCATATCCTCTGCATATCTTTCTGTTGGGTTTATTTATTGATTTTAGGAGAATTTTTCATAAAACGGATGTTAATCCTTCTTCTCGTATATGCTGCCAGTAGTTTTTTATTTGGATGTTTCTTTTAAAAATTTGTTTATGATACTTTTGGTCATTCAGAAGTCTTAAAATTTATGCACTGAGTTACAACCTTTAACATTATAAATACATTTTTCCATATTTTCTGCTTGTGTGTTTATAAAGTGATTTTTCAGTGTTTTACATTTCAAATATTTAATTAATGTGAACTCTTTTTTAGTGTATGATGTGAAGTAGAAATCCAACTCTACTGACTTTCAAAGGACAGTTCTGTATATCTCACTAGTTTGCAATTCCATTATCTCAGCTGCTGGTGTGGTAGAATAGGTGGTTTTACACCAGCTGCTTGCTAAAATAATTGGAAGTGCTGAAAAAAAAGTTTATATCTCTTTGAAGGCATCAGAGAGAGTCATGTTAGTGATAAACTGTGAGGCCAAGTTTCAGGAAAGGATATAGCTGAGCCTGGCTTTTGGGATCACTTTCCCTCTCAAGGCAATGACAATTTCAAAAGTAGCATATGAGAAGCTGAGACAAGCTTTACTCAGATTCAGAGGCCTGAGGAAACAAAAATTAAAGTTTAAAAGCCTAGAATGAGGAGATATCTGGTAATATCTAAGGCTTTTTTTTTTAGTTAGAATGCTGAGATATTCTAGGAGTAAGAATAAACCAGAAATAGACTTACCCTCACATAGATTAAACCCCAGCCTCGAAGCACAGAAAAGTTGCAAATATTGTACAAACAACTTTTTTTCCTGAACTTTTTGAAAGTAATTTGCTGAGTGCTTCTTTACCCCTGAACACTTTAGTGTGTCTTTCTTACAAGTGAGGATATTTGCATACATAACCATAATACAACCATCAAAACCCAGACATTAACATTAACATTATGGTACCATCTAACTCAGACCTTATTCAAATTTTACCCTTTGTCCCAATAATGTCCTCTATAACAAAAAGACCTAATTCAGAGTCATGTATTTCTTTTGTCATATTTCTTTATTCTCCTCGGGTCTGATATAGTTCGTCAGGCTTTCTTTGATTCATGACTTTAACTCTTTTGAAGATTATAGGCCAGTTATTTTGTAGACCATCCTTCAATGTGGGTTGGTCCTAATTTGATTCAGATTCTGCATCTTTGGCAGAGATGTCACAAGAATGATATGTGTTATTCTCACCACATTCTGGCAGTTCCCATTCAATTCCAATTTGATCCATTACCGATGATGTTCGTTTACTTGGTTAAGGTGGAATTTGCCAGGTTTCCCTACTGAAGCTACCATTATTTTTCTTTTGTAACGAATAATTATTGTATTCCTACCAATAATATTGTTGAGAAGTCTGGTGCCATTTGCAGTCTTTGTAAATGGTCTTTATTTCGCTAACAAGTGTTTAGGATCTTTTTATGCCTGTGTTCTTAATTTTCACATTGATGTGCATAGGTATAGGTCATTGTATCCTGCACTGTGGGAGGAGAGATGGTGGTGATGGTAAGGTTTCATCCAGACATTCAAATGTTCAGGTCTGGGAAATCTACTTCATTAAATTTTTAATTTTCCTTTTTCTCTCTCTTCTCTTTCTGAAACTCCATGAGTCAAATATTGGATCTCTTGAATTTCTCTTTTATGTATCTTATTCTTTCTTCTATGTTTTTCTTATGTTTTGGAACTAATTTCCTTGAAATTTCTTTGACTTTATCTTTTGACCATAATACAATGATGACATTTTGACATATAGCCTTGCAGGATTTTTTAAATACAAAAATATACACATAGATTTTTTTTTTACAAATACATGCATGTTTTCATAAAATGGAATTATGACAAACACACTATAAACATTTTTTCAGTGGGCACATCTCTATTCTTTCATGTTAATAAATGTAGTTTTTATTATCATTTTAAGGAGCTGAATAGTATTTCACTATTAGACTACCATTATTTATTTAAATAATCCCTATTGTTGAACATCTAGGAATTTCTACTTTTTACTATTGTAAACTGTGCTACTGTGAACATCCTTGTTCATACAGCTTTATGCTCTTGCCAAATTAAGTTCTTAGGATCAATTATGAAAAGCAGAATCCCTGGATCAAAGAATATGACAAAAATATATTAGGAACTTTTTTTTTTTTAAACTGTTTTTTGGTTTTTTTTTAAATTGGGGAATTGGGGGGATGGGAACAGTGCTGGGGAATTGGGGGAAGGGGAACAGACAAGTTGCTGTCATTTTTGTTCTTCAATCTAGTTGTGGAGGATGTTGCTTCACTGGCCCAAGTTGGCACCGTCATTGCGCTCTTCCCTGGTGAGGCAGATCAGTCGCCGGCTTCTGGACGGCCGCTCACTGCGGCTGCTGGCCGCTCACGTTGGCTGCTGGCAACACACGGTAGCCCATGGCAACCCACTGCCACAGGGGATGCAGCCTACGCCGTCGCCGGCGACTCATGGCAACCCAGCTCCAGGTTGAGCTGTTGTTCAGCATCTTAGCTGTGGAGGGCAGTGTCACTGGCCCTCATATGTGGGATCCGAACCGGGGCCCTCTGGCATCCCAAGCGAGTTCTTAACCATCGCGCCACTCGGCCGGCCCATATTAGGAACTTTTACTGTTTATTACCAAATTGCCCTCTAGAAAGTATGTTGTTTTTTTTTTAATTTTATTTTTTTTATAGCTGAGCCATCCTGCCACCTGTTGGCAGCTCAGCGGCTGCTCAGCTCGGGCCG